AATTAAGCCTCCACTCACAATTGGAACCAGGTGTTCTTGTCATAAGTCATGGGATCCTCCAAAAATATTTATGCAGATGAGGTGCAGGGCAATCTGGTCCAGCTCTACTTCATGGCAGTCAGGACCATGCTAATCATGTACAACAGGCTGAGGGGCAACAGAGGAATTCTGGGTAAACTCTTTGGGGCCCCCTTTGGTGATGTTTGCCAGACATTTGGGCTAGGGACAGACATTACACACAAACCAGTTTAAATGATTAGAAACTGGTTTAAACCTGTAGCAGACCAGATGTTCCATGCTCATATACCAGTTTGAAAATGGCTGAAACCAGTTTGAGATAAACCTGATTGAATGTAGTATCAGACTTAACTGATTTTGGTCAAACTGGTTTATGCAATGTCTGTCCCAGACCCTTTCCCAGTTTAAGTGAGTCCCCCTGTATCCTGGCATTCTCTCTGGGCTGGGCAGTCTGTTCCACAGCAGAGCTGGCCCTGCCCCTCTGCTCCCTGGCTGGAGCTCTGGCAGAGACTGCAGGTGTCTGCCTGGCTTCCCCCTGCTCCCCTCACCACTACCTGCTCAAGCAGCATTTACCCTCTACTTAACACAGACCCCTCTCAGCATTAGCTAGCATACCACATTCTGGATGCAGTCTGTGCTGTGGGAGATGGAACAAAGGCAGACAGGAACATGTCAGCTTAGGGCTTTTTGGGGCTAATCAACTGGTAGCTGGTAATGTCCCTCCATTCCTTCCTTGTGAAAAGTTGTTTAAGAAGAGCTTGAACTAATGAGAGGGACTTGTTTTGTTAGATGGGCTGATAAATGCTCTGTTTTCAACTCCCTGTGTAACTCCCTGCTGTATAACTCAATACTCTTTTTCCACAGCGGAGCGGGGAACCCCTCCCTAATCAGTGCATCTTGCTGGGGCCTGGCCATGCCCTCCTTCCAGCACTGTGGAAGGGAAGGGAGGGCTGCTGTAGCACCCCCTGGCTTCTAGCCTGAGCCACGGCAGACATGTGTTTGCATTTCTTTAGTCCAGAGGGGATGTCTTTACAGTTACAAACTGGTTTAGCTTAGCCAGGTTAGGCTAACCTACAAAGATTGAATCATTTCAGGCTCAGGCTTTTTGAATGTCTGTCCTTAGCCTTAAAGCTGGTGAAGAAACAGGAATAATTGGAGATGGGAAAGAGAGGCTCAGTAAAGAAGTAGTAAAAATGTATTTATTGTAGTGTCTCATCATGATTTGAGAAAGAGCCAGTGCTGAGGGGAACTGAATACAATGGACACTGCAATATATCTTATTCTGAAAGGCTTCACTAACCTATGCTCGTGCTATATATGTTAGCCCAATATGTCCCATGCATTTTAATTATACTCAGGGTTGGCAGTTTAATCAACTTTATAGTTAGATCACATGTTGCTTTTGGCATCAGTGTAATGATAGACAATGTGTTTAGTGAGGTTTCCTTGTATGCAAATGTAAGTTGAGGGGGTTTTTCCCACATGTTGATTAGGGGGAAAAAACAGGCACTGGGCTAGCAGTCAGATTCTCAAAATTAGGACATCATATGTTCCTTTCAAGTATAATTCATATGCATTGTACTAATAAATTCATCAGCTCAATCCTTCTTTAAAGAATTGTGTCAAGATTGAGGCATATATTTAAGCATATGTATGTCAGTGAAGGAATATGCAGTCCTTCATTGACACCATTCATTTGCTTAGGATTAAGATACATCCAGATACCTGAGACATATATCATGTTTTGGTGTGGAACTTAAGTATTTGTTTTACTCTGAGAGTCTCGTATGATTAATATATTAAGTATCAAAGCACTAATTATATTCTTCATTATTTTTTAAATAACTTTTCCCTTAAAATTAGTGTTCTAATTGCGTGCATACCTTCTGGTGTTTCACATGTATTTCTTCTTTGTCAGAATCTTGTCCCTAGTCTTTATTGCACATCTTTGCATGTTAGGCATACCTTCTTCTTTGACAATGCACCTTATCTTTCTAGGGTATGATCAACCTTGTCCTCGAATGTATTGATCGCTTACATGTTTACAGCAGTGCAGCTCACTTTGCTGATGTAGCTGGGAAGGAAGCAGGAGAGACCTGGAAATCTATTCTAAACTCTTTGTATGAGTTATTAGGTAAGACACATTGTGGGTGATGGGGTTTTGCTAAGTTAAAAATAACATTTGGTTGAAAAGAATATCTGAAATGAAAAAGTATTGACATTATGTAGATCCTCTGGTGCAAAAATACGTTTATTGCTATCTAATGCAAGTACATAAAATAAAGTCACCATTTTAGATGAAGAATAATAGCATAACTCCCAATCTAAAGAAACTCAAAACAAATGAGTCTCAGATTCAAGAAACTGATCTACTTCTTTTCCTTTCAAAGTTACTTCCATAGTTGCAGTAGTGAGAGGCCTGAGGTTTTGGAGGCAAGCCTGAAACCTTACAAGAACTTGAGTCTTATGGCAGAAAACGGAACTCAAGTATATATGAAAAGCTGTCATTTCAGAATTTCCAATATTATACAATCATTAAGATTTATAAGACCTTAGATGTTAATTAGTGTAAGACTTGGTCAATAATATGGAAATTGTAGTTATGCCAATAAAACATCATACACTAATTACCTATAACCTGTCTGCACTCAGAAGTTAAGCACTTGGAACTTAGGAAATGTTAGAAATGAGGTCATTCATACAAAATTAATATGATTCATAAACATGATACAGTCTTACAAGATCATGCACTATTTTTCTATAGGTTCCCTGAATCACAAATGTACCGAACTGATAGTGCTCAGTTGTTGAGCAACTTTTCAAGATTTTTTTCCCTTGCTAATCAGTATGTGACCCTAAGTGTTATTTACCACAATATGGGTCGAAGACAGAGCTATTGATTTCTTCATTGACTTTGTCTTAGCATTTATCACAATACTGAGCATTTACAAATATTAATGAATATATCCTCATGATACTGATTGGAGATGAGGGTATGAAAATAATCTGATTTCTATATATGAGAAGTTGAGGCACAGAAAGTTTCTCATACCCCTGCAGCTGTGAGACTGCAACTGTTGTGGTATCCCAGCCTTCAGGATTTGTGAAGCACCCCAGGAGCTGGGACCCAGCATCCTGGAAACTCCCAGGCTCTAGGGTGCATATAGGCTTCTCCAGCTGGGAACTCCACTCAGCTGGCAGGTTTCCCAACCATAGGAGCCCCCAGCCACATGTTTGATTAATGGTGCGCTAGGAAGGAGCTACGAAGTTACTACAAATATTTTGTGGAATGACTTTGTAGCTTATTCTGCTTTTTAGCATGCCATTAATTGATTGAACATGGTGGACGGCTGATGACTTAAGGTACAATTAACTGGTTATTCAAGTCCTAAGAGTAATGTGTAGATGGGGCCTTAGAGAGATACGGATATTATAGTTGGTCTATGATTTGGACTCCTTTTGCTTGCTTAGGTACAGCTGCATTTCCCTTAATGATTATCCTTTAAACACAAAATGAAGGTACAGTTATAATTCTTTTACTTATCACCATCCAGTCAAGAATGAGGCAAGAGACAAATCTATTGCCTTACCTTTTATTGTCACAAACCAAAAGCATAAGAACAAACATTTATTCCTATGCCCATCTAACTCCGCAGAGACACATGAGGTGGCATGCAGCCTGGTAGCAGGTCATCTCCAATTTGCAAAGTTCTCCCTTCTTCCCTTGGGCCTATACCTTCTATATGTAGGTGGCTTGTTCTAATATTCTAATAAATGTTCTGTGATTGATTTTATTTACATGTCTTTGTTTTAGTGAAACTTTTGAAACTGGTTTGAATCAGTTTTGTAATGGATTTAATTGGAATTTATGTCTCTGTGAAAGTTGCAGTTCTGGAAACAAGGATTTCTTTTCTCCTTCCCTCACCATCATGTAACGCTGCTGACCACTGTTCTGTTTTTTTTGTTACCTTGGTTTATTGGCTTACATCTTATGATCTTCAGTAACAAGGCTGCTTTGTTTTTCAGCTCATCCCAGAAATTTAACACAAATACAAATTAGAGCAAAACTATATTTGATACACTTGGTTATACCAATCATAACTACCTGTTAAAGCTATGATGATAGTATGTTTGGTTTATCTAATGTACAGCCTTCTTTTATAATGTCTTCTTTCAGACCTTGTGCTATGCTTAATTTGATCTGGTTGAACTGCATGCGCTAATTTCTTTCTTTCCTTTGTTGACCAGACTAGGAGTCATGCATGCAAAAGTACATTCTGTGTTCAATCAGAAATAAGGGTTTAGAGTCTTTTGCTTTAGCCATACTTTGTAGATTGGCATAGATCCCTTGAAAATGATCCATGTTGGCAACAAGTGTTTATACGTGTCTGTCTTACAGTATTCATTCAACAATCCCCACCCCCATTTAATAGGATATTGCTGTTAACTCTAACTATTATTAGTGTTTTTTAAAAAGCAGCAATCCAACACACCCTAGCCCAATTCTAGTGGCCTTGACCAACAAACTTTATTCTACTTTCCGATGTTACTGTTGATGGTTAAGATGCAAGCTAAAGCTTGTCATATTGTCAAAATTTAGGCTTATGCTAGGTCTAGAATCTGCTCATGTCATTGTGGTGTTTCAGTTGACCATGTCTGAACCTACAGTGGGAATGAATGTAATGTGAATGTGTAATGACAACTGCATTATAATGTACGTACACCAGGGATTGAATTTAGGTTTCACAAATAACTTTTAATTGTGGAAAATCCTAACATTAACTTAACTTTGCCACCTTTATAATGTTCTACTAAAGTTCTTTTCCTAAAATGCAAATGAAAACCTCGAGGGAACCTTGCAATCCCTATGCCCAGTAGCCTTTCGGCAGGGGCTGCAGGACAAGACACTTCAAAATGCAAGATCACTGGGAGTCCTGGAGCTCTCTGCAACCCATCATGTTGACTGCCTTGTCCTGCAACTTCCTCAGATCCAGCTGCATTTATGTTTTTTAGACATCTGGGTTCACTGGGACCCTGCAGACCAAAGGCTCCCCAATCCCAGGTAACTGGCATGCCTTGGCCTTTAAAACTGGTGTGTACAACTCAGTTGCACATGTGGGTTTTAGATCTCCTAGCATACTAAAATAGTTTAAAACTAGCATGTGAAACTGAGCTTTTTAGATGTCCAGGGGTGCAGGGACCTTGGGATTGAGGAGAGTTTCCCAGATTCCAGGGTCCTTGCATGGGAGCCTTTGGGTTTGCAGCTGCTAGGCAGGGAGAACCAAATCACATCATGCCATTAGATGAATATCTGCCAACGCCCTAGTCTCCTCCCCTTTACGTGGGTAAATCTGGGAGTGAAATGTCATATAATGTGTAATAGCTTTACCAATATCAATTTGTGGGTGACAGCTTTCGTTCTCAGGAGTTATTAAGATCATCCCAAAAGAGCACTAGTAAAACTTGTGTACGTAACTGTCACTCCTTCTTGTACCTCTTAAACAAAGTGACATTTACAATTGCTTCTGATAGCCTCTAATATTTTTGTTGGACTGTTTTTGTATCCATTTTGACCCTTTGACCTCTGAGCTGTAGTCATTAAAGAACCAAATTGTCCAGGATGTTGATAGGATTAAAAAAACCTCCAAGAAGGGCAAGATAGTTTTTTGATGGGCAAAACCAACGTTTTGGGGAGGAGGAGGAAACACATTTCCAGAAGAGAAGCATGAAAGTGATGTTAAATATATATCAGAGAAGAAAAAGGTGGATATTTGAGGTGCACAGGAGATTAGAGAGTAAGTATACATCTTGGTGAGCTCTTGTGTTTCTATGGGCCCTTACAGCATAAATGCAGATGGTGCAGTGTCTAACATCCAGTGTTACTGGTTTCATCTTAGCACTGTGGGGAGCATTAACATAGCATAGTACCATTTCTGCTTGTCCCTGTTGGTGTTGCCTGAGGCATTGCTCAGCCAGGCCAGGGGATCTGTTTCCTTGACTGCAGAATACTTTCTATGAGAACTAACTGGCTGATAGTTGTAGAACTAACCCTGCTTCCTGATTAAATATTCAGAGGTCAGAGAATCCCTTACACAACAGTCTACTTGCTCTTTTCCAAGCAGAGATTGATTTTCACAGGTGATATTTATAGAGCACAAGGCACACGTATTTATTCCAACATCTTTTCCATTATATAACGTTTCTGGTTGCAGTATCTCCTGATGGGTAATGCCTAAGAATACTGACCTTAGTCTAGTAATGGTGGATTCATGTACTCCCCTGTATTGAATAATGATGTAGCTATTCAGTAATTGCATACATACTAAATAGAATATAGCTCATTCGGTTTTGTTTTCACAAACCATCGTTTTTCATTAAATATGTTTGTAAATCAGAGTAAGTGGTTGATGCTGTCATAGTTCATGGCTTTTCGTCATGTTATTGCTTCTGTTTGTGGCATATATATCACTCTTACAATACTGAAGAAATCTGCAAGTGTTTAGCTGAAATTGGTTTTTACATAGGATGGAAATGAGTGCAGTTTCAGACTGAGGAATTGCAGCATTTATACGTTTGTCTGCTATAAATATCTAAGTAACTGTATCATGTTATTAGAGCATCACAAATTAGGAGGGTTACATGGTGGTCTTAATGGGCAACGTAACAGCATGTAAAAGTAAATATTCTTCATTTGATTCATTAAAAGCTATGAAAAGTTTCCAATTTTCAAAACACCTTATTTGCTGAGGGGTAGAAAGAAAATGAAATGCGGGATAGAATAATAGAAAAACAGTTCTGGAAAAGACTTCAGGAAATCATTTAGTCCAACCCTCCCTCACTTAAAAACTCCACAACCTCTTTTAAAGTTAGTCTTTCTTAACATCCAGCCCAAATTTCCCTGTAGTAACTTGAAACCCTTGTGGTCAGAGAGAGCAGTTGATTATCTCTGGACTTTACCCTGGTAGAGATTCCAAGGAAATAAAAAGTATAACAGAAAAACAAACAGCTGCCCCAAACAAGTCATCTTCTTCTTTTTCTTCTGGGACCTATGTCAAGCTGCAATCTGGCTTAACATCTTGTAATTGGCAAAAGGGTCTTGGAGTCATTACTGATGCCAAAATGACCATGGGCCGA